ACCATGTCGGTTAGTAGTTACTTGTCGCTTATCGGTTTTCAATTATTTATTTATTTTTTTGTGGAACCCGGGAGACTGAATACGTTATGTCGGTCCAGAATCATTTCGAACGCGAACGAGTGTCACTGTTTGAGGGAATTTCTCAAACGTTTTAGGCGAAGATCTTAGGTATATCTAGCTTTAATCTAACATAATGAGCTAGTAAAACACAGTTAGTGATTATTGTACATATCCCCCAAATATAAAATTCCAAATTAATTTCTTAAAGAAAACCAATTATTCAACCTAGTTTATCATTACTCACCACATGTCCTTGCACCAACATGAAAACCAAGATACTCAAAGTGGACATCATTTTAATACATCTGAAAATTCTAAAGCAAAAAGAAAAATGACCATAATAAGTTAAAGTTTATTTCAGTGCCTACGAGCAAAGGACTCACAGAGCGAGGAAACTTAAAATAAACGAGTTCGCAGACTTCTATGGGCTGCTCAATATGAAAATTACTTTATTTAAGACTTTGGGACTACCAATTAAACCTTGAGGTGAAAGAAAGTTAAAATAATGCAACAGCTATAACCTTTCTGCTGTAACCAAGCCGTATCATCTGGATTAACAATCATTACAGTTTAATAGTTTTCATATGATGACTAAAAATTATTCAAAAGTTAAAATTTGTTTCTTCCAACGGTTGTTTTGTCTCAAGTGTAGTTTTCTCTAAAAAAAAAAAAATAATCGAAAATTAACGGGAAAGTTTCAAAACGTATGTTTTGATTTGTTCTAAATGTCAATTCTAAAAACAGAGTGCCAAAGGTCATGATAATAAATCAGTGTTCATTGAATTGAATGATATCCGGAAAGTGGCAAGAAGTATTCTGCGACACATTTTTTTTCCGATTTTATTTACTTCTTCGGCTTAACATTTAATATAGATGTAAGGAAACTTTGTTTCATTCCTTTATTTTCATTTGTTCTAGTTTTTTCCTTTGTTACGATTAAAAAGAGTCTTCCTTCAGACTAAGTCACAATTAGAAATTAATTACGGAGGTATCTAAAACAAATAACAATTGGCTTTGGTTAACAAAAGACCAACCTTGAACGACTCCTCGCGGATCAAAAGTTCGTGACTCAACTTTAGTGACCTCTGAAAAGCTTCAAACTGAATTTGGTAATGAGTTTTTCTTAACTCACCTTTTTTATTGGCACTTTGCTTTTCTACTGAGATGATTTTCTTCGTCGTGCTATAGATCCTTGGTTATAGCAAGACAAAATATGTCCGCTATTTTCTTGGTTATAGATATCCAACCTCAAAATTCTTGTTACGTTTTGTGTTTTTTTTAATTCACTGCCAGTATTTTTCCGGCCAAGGGTAACCCGGCTTCATTTTAGCTAATTACATTCACAATCGA